ACCACCAAGAACACAAGAAAACACCACAAAATGGCTGTTGTGCCCATGTTTAACTGATTTTCCCTAGCACAATTTCACAAGAAATTGCCGACAACACAACAAGACGAAACTTTTAAGCTGACAAAGTCAGAAACTAGAAACCAGACCATTCAAACACAGTGCATATTCTATCAATCTGCGCAGTGACAGTCATATGATAGCGGTGACCAGTTTGAAACGAAAGAACAAAATGATAACTGGCATTCCACATTGTGACAACCTGACTCGCAGCCTGCGAACGCAGACGTATTTCCGGCTGTCGCTTGTCTCCGCCGAAAATAACCTCTGCGAGCCAGAACCAGGAAACGATTTCTGTGACGTAGGAATTTTAAGCCAATCACAGTTTAGCTCAAGTAACCCCAGAACTACTGCGCGAGGTATTCGCCGCGAGGAGCACTCGAGTTTCATTGTATCGTGGAATCTGATTGGCCAAAGAGAAACAAAAGTCATTACATTACAGAAATCGTTTCCTGGCTCGGTTTCGTAGACGTTATTTTTCGGCGGAGACAAGCGTCAGCCGGAAATACGTCTGCGTTCGCAGGCTACCTGACTCCGAGAAAGTTCACATGGCACAACACTAATTTCCTAACCATCCGAGCTGATTGCAAAGCAATGTGACTGGTTAATTTAAAAAAAAATTAAAAAATTAAAATGGTTCAGTCGTCCCTAATAGACCTTTCCCGCATTCCAGCAAACAATAGCACCGAGTCGAGGTCAGGGTGGACAAAAATACCATAAATGTATGAAAATGTCCACCTCAACCTCCCTCTGGTTCTATTGTTCGCACGCACTGAATTGAAATGGAATGCGGGAAAGGTCTACAAACGGCTGTTGTGCCACATGAACACGTTGTGCCTGGGATCCCGTTTTTTCTCTTATTGGCTTCCGAAAATGTTTTCAGGACCTTCGGTTATCTTTCCTTTGAAATGGTAAACACATGCATTTTTTCGTTATGTTCTAGGAGCTTATCCTATGGCTGGAGCCGTACACAAAAAAGAGATGTGATGAACAAAGAGATTGATTTTGTTCACGTCACGAAAGAGAGAGTTCTGGGTATGAGATTCATAATACTGGGGAAGATAAGACGAAAGAAGAATTCCTGTCTGCATAACTTTTTATCTGCGAAAAAATCTGCTGGTAATACTAGTAAACGCCGTTTAGAGAGTAGGATAGGAAGGCCAGGCTAGGGCCTCCCCCGAGGGGGCAGCTAACTTGTACCCAGATTTCCACAGCCAACAAAAATAACTAATGATTGACTTACCCCACTCCAGACATACCAACCGAAAATGTTAGTTTCCAGTTCGCACGTGGGCAACATGGCAGACGAAGTGAGGTTCTATCCAGCTGAGATTCCGTGTTATATTCCGCCTTTTACGTCGTAATTGAAGGACAAAAACATTCGAACTGTATCGCTGTTGAACATGGCTAAGACAAGAAAAAGATCAGGGCCAGAAAAAACGGCCAAGAAATCCAACAGCTCCATGAATCCAGGTAAACAAGCTCTTACGAAATCGTTCATGTTTTTATATAGCTTTTTAACCTTTTTACCTTTTTAAACGCACTAAGCTCCAGGAATGTCATTCCCTTTTGGATTGTTTCCATGTGATACATATTTATGTGTAGTTTTGCAACTGTAGTCATTGAGCATTTTTTTGTACAGTGACCATTTTCACAACTATGAGACACGTACATGTAGCTTATCTCAATTTAAATGTCTTTTCAGTCTTTTCATGTTATTGATGGTATATTATAATTTATTTTCAGACCGTGCAAAACCAGCAGCTGGTTCCAACATGCGAGACAAGTCAACCGTCAATAGGTTGAAGATGTACAAATCAGGAGGAAAAGCTGTGAGGTGTACAGACTAGAAAATATTTAGACTTGCACCACTTGTAGTGACAACAACAACAGCAGCAACAATCTTCATTTTCGTTCAGTTTACATTTTTACAGTTAGAGTTAGCTAGTGCTTGTGTACATGAGTCCAGTTGGGCCAGTCTGTCAAGATCTAATTACAAATTTAGGAAAAAGTAAAAAAAATGGAAAGGTGGGAGAAGAATGAATGATAGAATTGATGGGTTATCAAAATAATTAGATAATATATGCACATTTATCATTATTTTTATTTATTACATGGCTTGTGTTTGTAGCGGATATAATGCGGGCTCTGATTGACCAATTATGAGGCATTATTCTCCCGTAATGCCCACGGGCCGATTACGAGCCTGCAAAACCAAAGCAAAAAGCCATATAATAAACAACTTATTAACCTCGAATGTTTGGTTTTAACGGGAAAATCTCAAACATTGGCCTTGCCGTATTGACCTGGCTTTCGCTCGGTCAATATAACAGGGTCTCGGTTTGAGATTTTTCTGTAAAGACCTCACTCTTGGTTGNTTTTACAGTTAGAGTTAGCTAGTGCTTGTGTACATGAGTCCAGTTGGGCCAGTCTGTCAAGATCTAATTACAAACGTTTTTATCAATGAGTAGATTACAAATTTAGGAAAAAGTAAAAAATTGGCAAGGTGGGAGAAGAATGAATGATAGAATTGATGGGTTATCAAAATAATTAGATAATATATGTACATCTATCATTATTTTATTTATTATATGGCTTGTGTTTGTAGCGGATATAATGCGGGCTCTGATTGGTCAATTGTGAGGCATTATTCTCCCGTAATGCCCAAGGACCGATTACGAGCCTGCAGAACCAAAGCAAAAAGCCATATAATAAACAACTTATCAACCTTGAATGTTCGGTTTTAACGGGAATATCTCAAACATTGGCCTTGCTGTATTGACCTGGCTTTCACTCGGTCAATACAACAAGGTCTCGGTTTGAGATTTTTCTGTAAAGACCTCACTCTTGGTTGATAAGTACTGGAAGTTATTAATCTTCAGTACTTCAGTAGTGATCTCCAGTACTGTGGCAAAGCAGTTAACTTAAATGTTTAGAAATGACTTCAGATGTCTGAAAAAATTCCTTGACACTACATGTATTGTTGATGCTCCTGTTCTAGCATATATAAATTCCTCTTAGAATACCAATTAAGCTATGTCACCATTTCCATCACAATAACCCTTAACAGTAAATAAATTTCTTAGTTTTTGTTTTATTTTTTCAGAAATAAGAAGGGAAAAATTGTGAAGCCTGCACCATTCCAGAGTTCAGTTACATCAGGAGAAGTTGCAAGAGTTGCTCCAAACAGAAAGTGGTTTGGTTAGTACCACAAACTTTGTTCAATTGAATAGGCCAATTCTGATGTATTAAAATTCTAACTTAGCTCTGAGGCTTAGGGGAATAAAACAAGAGAAATTGCATTCAGGATGAGGGATGAATAATTAATTTCTTTTGTTTTATTCCCCTAAGCTTCGGAGCTAAGTTAGAATTTTAATATATCGGAATTGGCCTATTTATCACAAATTCATTTTGTGTGTATTCATTTGCATTCCTGTGTTGCCTAATGTTAAGTGAACTCATTGTTTTTATGCTGCTTTTTTTACTTTTCTTGTAAATCTGGCAAAATAGAATGGTTGGTTGTTAATGTTATTGTACAGTCATGTTATGTTTGCACTTAAATGGACTCAGAAGCTTTTAGAGTTGGAGGATCAATGAATTGTAATGTAATTATTTCCATCTTTGTAAACCAACAGGAAATACAAGGGTGATATCACAAAATGCTCTACAGTCATTTCAAGATGAAATGGGCAAGGTGCTCAATGATCCATATAAGGTATTTCAACTTGATTCTCATTGGTCAGCTTTTGAAATGATTACTTTATAGAATTATTAACAATACACTTACAAGTCATATCTAATTGAAAATTGTATTAATCTGAGTATTATTTCTATTGCTAACAGGTCGTGATAAGGCAAAGTAAGCTACCGTTGTCCCTTCTAAATGACAGAGCTCAGTCTGCTAGGGTGCATATTTTAGATACAGAAGGTTTTGAGACAACATTTGGACCCAAAGCACAACGCAAAAGACCAAACCTCAAAGCAGCTGATATGAAGGTTTCAAAATATTACTCCTTAATTAATTAAATGCAAAGCCCATTTCTGTAACCTATTAATATGCACATCATAATTTCACAGGCATTGGAGATACATAGAGAATTAGCAGATGTATGTATTTTTGAAAATTGTTAACATCTGGAGAGAGTTTCCAAACTAGATTTAAGTTTACAAGGAGGTTTCTATTCATCTTTTCAGGGCTTTTTGGAAGCAGCCCAGTTGTCTTCAGGTAATTTATTTGTTATTACATGTGTATATGACAAGGTTTCCTAACAAATTCACTGACCTATTACATGCATATTGCAACCCATACAGTTTTCCTTATTTATGTTAATGCCTTAACAGTTTCAATTTGTCATGGATGATTGGTTTTTGTACAGTGTAGCTTTACTGATGATTATACAATAATTAAGTGAAAACTAATTTTATTATAATATAGAGGGGACCCTGCACTTGCTCTGATTGGTCAAAAACCCATGTTTTACCAGAGTATAAAACATAGACACAGCATGTTTTATTGTTTTTCGCCACATTACCTCTATATCATAAAGCAAATGAAGAAGCCTAAGCTATGTATTACACTGTGATAAAACACTCTGGACATTTGAGAACGCTTGAGAACTGTAGAAAACACTTGCCTTTGGTTTGTGTTTTCTACATTTCCCTTGTGTTCTCAAATGTCTGGAGTGTTTTATCACGGTGCAATACACGGCTTTGCCTTAGGCATCTTTATTTGTTAAATGAAAGGGTATGTTGGTGCATCTTGAGTCTGATTTCTAACCAATCTTCTTAAATTATTCCTGTTCTGTCTTGGTTTGTTGTTACTTCTTTAATGTTTTTCTTCCTTTAGTTAACTATAAGTAACTGTGAGGCCAGGGTTTCCTTTGATTTAAAGTTGATGTATGTCACAAAAAAAGTTCCTCTAGTTAATTACAATGATACACATACAGTAACAGGTGCTTAAAATATGATCATTCACTACCACTACTTTCATAGACAGATGTACATAACACAAATATAAGCCTGACCTCAGCTACTGACACATGGGAGGGTAGAAAGGAAACCAAACACTCCCGCCCCTTCCCACAGTATTGGGTTATGTTGTTAAACATTGTATTTATTTGTACCTACCTGCTATCCTTTTGGTAGATAACTATCTGCACATATTATATTGCAATTTTGTGTACAATCATGGACATGCTTTTTAAACTTGCAGAAATGTATGATGAAGAAAAAGACATGAATCTTGTAAGGGAAGATGATGGTGAGAAGTAAGTTGTTCAACTTCAAGCTTTCCCTTGATTGGAGGTCAAATAAATTACTGACCGGGCATAAATTGCATCTGTCATACATATTGTTTTTTACATGCCCATAAGTGTTTTGGACCAAGCCCTGTTCCTGCCAATTGATGCCGGTGTAGTTACTTAGAACTGTACCACTTGGATTTGCAGACACAGGCTGTGTGATTATGGTCATTGAGTTGCAGATCTCACGCAGTGTAGATGATGCACTGATTACAAAATTATAAGTGTTACTAATTAAACTGTTGGGAGTTATTTGCCTGCAGAGTATGTTTCTTAACTGAATGACAGAATTCTTCTTGTAGAGTGGAAGCGAAAGAATCGCTGTTTACAAAAGGCCAATCAAAACGAATTTGGAATGAGTTATACAAGGTATAGAAGATAGATGTACATACATTAGTCTGATATAAGCTCCTGGTTATAAGGCTGCTTTGAAGCAGCTGCTGAACATATTATATTTTTAATATTACTTACTAGATTTTAGTAGACTTGAATTGACTAGTTACTATTTAATAGACTTTTTTTATCACATAAATAATTTTAAATAAGTTATAAATAAATGTCTTGACAAGAATTTGTTTGAAGTTCAGTTACATTTACCCAGCTTTTCACACCATGTTCTTTTATAATATTCAGATCTAGATCCCTGGGATAGGGGACTCCCTTGTAAAAAGGACGGGGGTGCTCGTCATAAATTTAGAAAAGAACCCCTAAGAGGAACCAAGATCTTGTTTTGTGGAAATGACTTATTTTATAATTTTTTTTTTTACCTTTAAGAGGTACCAATTCTAAGGCAACATACATTTTCCTGTCATATTTTTTCAACTCAATACCCTAAAGGGTACCGCAAGAGCTCTTACTGTGGACCTTTTGTGGCTGAACACCAAAACCGCTTTTTTAACCCCTGAAAAGGTACAACGTTTTAACCCCTTAAAGGTATGACTAGCACACATGCCCTTTTTGTATGGGAGTTTCCCCCGCCTCCCCAGGATCTAGATATGGACCTTCTGGGTGTGAGCCCCTTGAAATTCTCACAAAAATGCAATTGTTAATTTTTTTTCTCTGTTTTACTTCAGGTCATAGATTCCTCTGATGTTGTCATACAGGTAGGAAACTTCATAAAAAAGAAGTACAGGAATCGGATTTAATTATTTAATGTGAAAGGTCATTCAAAATTGAAACCCCAGGATAAACTGCCAACAAACCCCACCCCACTTTGAAAATAGTGTATTGATCAAATGATGGAGATGTTTCAACACTTTTTATTAGTAAAGAAGGCAACAGTTCATGAAAAACGTAAACTTTAAGAACACGCTAAAGAACTGAACAACTTGTCTTATATATTTACAGTATATTACACCTTACATATTTAGAAAATAGTGAATTGGTCATGTGGTGCCTGCAGAACTTAAAATCATCAATATATTAACTTCTGAAGTGGCCTCCGTAATAAGCCTGGTGGTTTCTTTTGGAGGTCTCCTCGCCACTTTTTGAGTATTGTCAATATCTTAATTTGTTATTATTTACGTGGCAAATAAATGATGATGTTGATGTTATGCAGGCAATACTAGATCTCTTGAGTACCAGCTCACCCCTTGGCAACAGGTATTAGTTTTCATCGTCATCTTCGGGCATCGTCATCATCGTCTTCATCATCATCATTGTCGTCATTGTTGTCATTGTCGTCGTCATGGTCGTTGTCATCGTTGTCGTCATCATTGTCGTCATTGTCGTCATCATCATTGTCATTCCTTTATGCCCCCTGGGGAAGCATAGGGCGTTCACAGCTATAAGTTTTAAACCCTAACTTTCATCAAAGAAAAGGGTCACCATCTAGTCTTGTGCTATCACTGCTCTCTTTCACAAATCAGTGCAGCAGGGATGTAAAATTTTATGGCTGGCCATGATAAATAGAACTGTGCATTGAAAATTTATCATTTGTTTTATGGCATGCTGTTTACAGATTATTAGTATCTGGTTTTCACCTCAGGTGTTAGATGCTCGTGATCCAATGGGGACACGGTCCAGTCATATTGAATCCTTCATGAAGAAAGAGAAGCAACACAAACATCTGATTTTTGTTCTGAACAAGTGTGACCTGGTGCCAACCTGGGTAACGGTAAGAATCTGCCATGTTTATCATAAGATTATAGCAAGCAAAAAGTTATAAAGGCGAAGTGGAGTTGTTGTCTTCCTCTTCCTTCTCCCCACTTCCTCTCCCCTCCCACCTCCTCCTCTCCCCTCCCACCTCCTCCTCTCCCCTCCCACCTCCTCCTCTCCCCTCTCCCCTCCTTCTCATGTAGAGCAGTTCCATATGAGGTCATGGCAGCCATATTGGTGTTCCAAAACAATTCAGCCATGTTGGTGTACCAAACGGATCCTGTGGGAGTTGAACTCTTTTCTTATGTAAACTATTTTGTTCCAATAAATATGCATGGTAGCTGGCCATGTGAGTGAAAATGATCCATTCACAGCTGGCAGCAATATGGTATCACAACACCAATAGTTCATTGAATTTCTGGTCCAAAAATATGAGTATGAAGTGTTCAAAAGGTACGATAGTAAGTTTTAGGTGTAGCCCCTTTAAGCAAATTGAAATTTCCAACTGTGAATGTGAATACGACTGTGAATGTTAACAGAGAACTGAGCTTGTTAGTTCTTTAGCCACTTGGCTGTTTAAACAGATGGTAAGCATGACAACCCTTCCTGTGATAGACTAAGTTAGTTTTCTGATCTCCACTTTACAGCAAAGATGGGTGACAGTTCTGTCAGCAGACTATCCTACTCTTGCCTTTCATGCAAGTGTTACAAACCCGTTTGGTAAAGGAGCCTTGATAAACTTACTTCGACAATTTTCAAAGGTATGGCTAATTAATTTGTAAAACGATGCCAGAAAGTTTCAGAAGAAACTACCCATGCCTCAGAAAGGCAGCGTGGCCGAGTGGTTTAGGGCGCTAGTGTTGTAATCCAGAGGTCCCGGGTTTAAGGCCTCCACCCTGCCACTAGCGGGTTTTGTTTCTCGGTAGTCCCAAGTTCAAATCTTCGGTCACGCTTTGTAAATGGCCAACTGGTCTGCCTCCTGCCAGTTGGGATTTTTAATTATGTTACGTTTATTTGAAATATTTGTTTCCTTTGTTTCCTTTGTTTCAGTGGCATGCCTGGCTTTGTGCTTCTATAGCTAAGTGCATGACCACTATAAATAAGATTTACATTTTACATTATAGAAAGTAGCAATAAATATCACGTTTTTCAAGAAAATTCTGAAAGTAGTGGTCTTCCTATCTTCGTTTTAAGCCTATCTCAAGCCTAAGGCTTTATATTTTACATGTAGCGCCTAACTCGTATGACCTGTGCCTTTTGCTTCCTGTTTCACAGCTTCATACCGACAAGAAACAGATAAGGTGAGATGGACTTTTTGTTGTTCCCAACTTGAAATTTTATACGACTTATACCGTAAAAAGGAAGTTTTCTTTTAAATTACATTGTAAAAGGCTGTAACCTTGTATTGTGTTGATACTTTGATTTTGTTCTGGGAGTGAACACGACAGGTCTGTAGGTGCAGTTGTCAACCATCATGAATCTCATTCCAGTACTGGTTAATCAATGATTAAAAAGTCATTCTTTAATGGTTTAGGTATTATCAAAGTAGGAATTCTCTTCATACATTTCCTTTAATGACAGTCGTACATAAGAATGCAGTGATATATCAGCACGGGTTTACGGTCACTGCGCTCCATGGTCACTTCGTTCCAAGTCACTTTGGAACGAAGTGACCAACGGATGGAACGAAGTGACTTGGAACGAAGCGCCCATGGAACGAAGTGGATATCATCAGCACGGTAGTTATCCCCCTGTGGATGATGATACTCCATATTCTCCTCACCTGCTTGGTTGATATTGTGTTGACTGTGATGTTGTAAGGGGAATTTGTTTCGTTCCTTTTCAGTGTTGGCGTTATTGGTTACCCTAATGTTGGCAAGAGCTCAATCATTAACACTCTCAGGGCTAAAAAGGTTTGCAACGTGGCACCGATTGCAGGAGAAACAAAGGTAAACGTAATGTACTTTTCTGCTTGAGGTAGAGTTACGTTAGAAACAGCTCTTACTAAAAATAGATTTGTTATAATCCCTCGTGAATCGTCAAACAAGACATTGTGACTGAACGACAAGCGCGTTCTTAGGCCTATTCCAAACGTCGTGCTACTGCCGTGCCGAACTAAATTTTAAAATAAAATTCGACTTAAGCACGGCAGTAGCAAGACATTTGAAAGTCACTTCGGCAGGCTGAATTAAGCGAGACTTAGCTTCAAACGGCTTACTCTTGCCGTGCCGAACTGAATTCACAGTCTACTGCATCAGCTGCCATTGCTTTCTAACATTTAAAATGGTCTTTAGCAAAGCAAACTTCTTCCGATCTTCGGCGCGACTTATTTGTCTTGCCACTGCCGTGCCGAACTCGAATGAGTTCGGCACGGCAGAGGCACGAAGTTTGGACTAGGCCTTAGTCAGATCAGGAGATCGTCCGCCAGCTCTGCAGATAACGTGATCTGAAAGAAACTTCAGAAACCCCTACTTACACGTGTGAATTTGGAAATACATCTATATTTTGGCAGGCAGACTTAAAACCTTTTGTTGTCTCTCTTTTCGCAGGTGTGGCAATACGTGACGCTGATGAGGCGAATTTACTTAATCGATTGCCCTGGAGTCGTTTATCCGAGTGGTGACAGTGAAACTGATATCATTCTCAAGGGAGTGGTAAGTGAGTTAGTTTAGGACCTTCATCAGGGTATAATAATATAGACATAACAAGGGGGGTGGAATCCCGGGGGGTTCTCCCCGAAAATTTGGGTGGGGGTGTGCGGCCCGCTTCCCAAAACCCTTACCCCATTTATGACCAAAATTTGGGATTTTCCCTACCCTATTTATGACCTGACCAAAAATTCGATACCCCATTTATGACCTGACCCTTGGATCAATACTCTGTTTCAGACCTGCCGTATAATTGCTTCCCTAGTTTAAATCAATGATCTTACCAATAATGATGAAAAAGTAGCTTCTTCTTAAAAACATACCTAATCCAAGAATAGAGTGCAAAAACAATACCCTATTTATGACCAAAACAGCCTAAAAACCATACATAACTATACACGCATACTCCTATATAAGGGAGTACCCCACCCCCCGGGGAACGGGATAAATGGAGTAAAGGAGCCAAGGAGCCTGCGTGCAAAATTTGGCGCTAATCGTCACATCAAATCTCGGCGATTTCTCAGGCCCCATCCACGCTACGCCGGAGGAATTTGAAAACGGAGGCTTTACTCTGACTAAACGCATCAAATGTTTTCCGTCCACAATACGCCGGTGGAATTTAATAACGCAACAATCGCCGGTCATTTTGGCTTCGTGTCTGAAACCAACTCGGGCAAGGAAATCACGTGATTGACGTGAGGTCATCGTTATCAAAAAGCGCCTTTTTCAAACTGTTTTCCGTCGAACCATAGTTAACTATGGTCGAACGCACGAAAACGAAAAGCTGGCGTTTTCAAATTCCTTCGGTTTGAAGAGCGTTTCCGAAAAGCTCCGTTTTCGTGACGGATTAGTGTGGACGGAAGGACAATCCGTAGAAAAAAAGCTGCGTTTTCAAATTCTCTTCCTCCGGCGTAGTGTGTGGCCTCAGCTATCAGTATTTTTTTGGGATCTCAGATCCCAGCTGTCGGTAAAAAAAACTCGCCATTTTTTAACTGTTAATCAAAAGACGTCCTTACCGTCTTTTCTGATCTTGTGTCGTTGTCACAGGTTCGTGTGGAGAATGTCAAAGATGCAGCATGTCATATTCCTGCAGTATTGGAGCGAGTGAAGCGGGAATACATTGCTAAGACTTACAAGGTGTCATCGTGGAATGACCCAACAGACTTCTTGGAACAAGTCGCTCAAAGGACTGGTAAACTACTCAAGGTAGATAACGTCACGTGTTTTGTTATTCTAAATATATCACTAACTCAGTTCGTCCTTTGTTTTTTGTTGTTGTTGTTTTGTTGTTTCATGTTGTCAATCATTTCGTCAGACAACTAATCAATGGATATTTTTTAGATATAATAACTCTCTGGACACATTTAAAAATTGACGTACTTGTTGCCAGTCTTGTTCCCATTCTTATCACACCATATATTTTCAAAGTGGTGTATGTGCTGCAATATTTACCCGATAGCCTGTAAAATCTGGTGTTCAACTGAGGAGTTATACGATACTAATTTTACCTAGACAAGTTACTGAGGTCTGTTCTAGAAAATGAATGAAACTACCTTGCTTGACATGTTCTATTGTTCAAATGAATTTATTTCATTCTGTTCCGTAACCTGCCGCATCCAACAACTTTTCTTTCAGGGCGGTGAAGCTGACGTTAACACGGTTGGGAAAATGATATTAAACGATTTTCAGCGGGGCAAGCTGCCATATTTCGTGGCACCACCGAGCAAGGTAAAAAGGTGTTGTAAAATCCTGGATAAGATTGTCGGCCTCAGTGGTAAAGGGAGGGCGGTCTGATAGTAAGCGCGCACTCTGCTTGAGGTCGAGACGCTCACGGCGAGTGTAGGTGTAGTAAGGCTCATAGTGTGGTGTTCTTGGGCAAGACGCTTCACTCTGATGGCGTGTCTCTCCTCACTGGAGTATAAATGGGTAGTGGCGTACTGTAAGGACAACCTGACTGAATTCTGAAGGGGGGGGGGGGGTGAAGGTACAATCGATGGATTGGCATCCAATCCTCCAATCCAGGTGGGGGGGTTACCGTTAGTAATTCTCGTAGTTACCCAACGCTACAGAAACGCAACGATGAATCCTCTGCCTGGCTCCCTGAGTTTGGAATGGACTTTCTCCAGTACTCATTTGCTCTCCTTTTACAATCTGTGTACTCTTGTTATTAGAGTCTCAAAAGTCAAAGTTTACTCTTTTACAGGAAGGTGAATCAAATTCCGAGGAAACAACGAAGAAAAGAAAAACAGCGTCACGTATTCCACCGCTTGCTGAGAGTTTTGTTAAAGAAGCAACCTCCACCGCTGCTGACGAAAACACGACTAATGAAGAAACGGTCGAGGATGATGGGAGCAAGGAAAGCAATTCTTTTAAAGACTCGAAACAGGAGACAAATACAAATACAGATACAAACAACAAGGACAGCGCTGAGGAAAATTCCCAGAGTAATGAAAGTACGAAAGATAGAACTGGTACAAATGGAGAGATAAATGAAAATACCGAACTTTCAGTTCAAGAGTCAAAGAATGTAAACTTACATGTGAAACAAAACTTCGGGGCCATTAACGTGGGACTTGAATACAGCGGTGATGATGTGCAGCCTTTAGAGGAGAACAGCGAAGGAGAAGAAAACATTACTGTTGAAAGTGAATCTGAAGCTGAGGAGGATGAGAGCGAGGGTGAAGAAGGGACTGGTGAACAGAGAGATGATATACGAGCTGCGTATGGGAAATACGAGTGAGTATTGAACTGTTCAGTGAGAAAAAAGCTATTGTAAGCTAATCATGACTCAATATATTACCATTTTACAAATAGCTAAAAAAGCAGAGATATTTCAGCCGCCGGTCAGAGATGAATTTGTTTTACTTCTTCTCTGGAAGAAATAAACTTCTTAATTTTCCACGGTTTTTTGGTCTTCATGTCATATCTTACGAGTTTATCGCCCTTTGTAAACTTCAATACGAAGGTTTTTGTGAAATTAAAGATCGTTTTGTTTGGAATTAAAATACTTCAGATCTCGCGCATATTGTTCACTGATTTCTTACCCACCTAGTCAAAAAGGAGGGTCTTAAGTTTGTGCGAAAATCAAACCTCCTATGATGTTATTGAGTGTTTTGAGTGGAAGTCAATTTTTGTTGTTGCTGTGTTTGTTAGAGATGAAGAACTCGGAAGTGAAGAGGAGGAGGAGGAGGAGGAGGAAGAACAAGAAAAAGGCAACGAAAAACAAGCAAGTGAAGTGAAAGTGAACACGACTGAAAACAACTGCGAGAGCGATAGTGAAGATGACGACTATGAAGATGATAGCGAAATATCAGATGAGGAAGAAGAATCCGAAAATCACGAAGCTCAAAATGATTCCGTGACTGAGGTAAACACGGAGGATGAGTCAAAGAAACAGAGGTTACTCGACAAATACAAAAATTTACCAGGTAAAAAGCGTTGAAACAAGAGTTAAAAGTTAATTTTGATTTAAAACGATAAGAAGCACCACACTGGTAATCTTTTTTCACCATGTTACTGTACCCAAATTTGTAATCAGCCAATCAGAAGCCGTGTCTACTGTCCTGATATCCTGAGATATCAAGTCACTGACCTGATATGGATACGCTTTCATGGTCACTTGGCCAAAATGATTTAGGTTCGCTAAATACCTAATCGTACCTTTTTAGCAGCATACGAGGCTCGTTTGGTCTCGCCATGGTTCGTATTTTGGCTCGATTACGAACCATGGCGAGACCAAACTCACCTGCTATGCCACCGAAGCATACCAAAAAGGTGCGATTAGGTATAAAAATGCAACCGACGTGGAGGGAAAAGTTTATCGCAGAAGCTGGGAGGAGAGCAGTATTGCTAAGTAATCTAGCCACTAAACAGTTTGTTGTAAACAGAATATAATGGATTATGTGCAGGACTGTGCAATGACTGCGGGCTGTTTGTTGAATTTCACTGCTCGTCATGTTAACCTATTCATTCGATCACAAGAGTGATCCACTTAGGAGATATTGCCCTCATGTATCATCAAGTTCTCATAACTAACCTTTAAAGAAAGGTATAGGAATCAGTAAGGAGAATTCATATTCGAAGTTGGGAATGAAAAGATTTATTTTCTGGTAAGATCGCCAGAATAATGTTGTGTTTGGGTAGGTGTTCTGGCCACGCGAGACAGACCATCGAAGACCTACCGAGCACTAGTCAGTGAAGATTTGGGTTAATCGTGTTTTTTTTTTTTCGACTATTAGACGCTCGACGACTGGCATCTCGTCAAGTACAGGAGTGGACCACGCCTACTGAAAAGCGATTCTCGGTTTCCGTCAGCCCTTTCATCGCGTGCGTGGAAGCGGAAAGAAGTGAGGAAGATGAACAAAACAAAAAACGCCATCACAACATGAATGTAAATAACACACCTAAAGCACGTCCAGGGAGACCAAAGAGCGCAAAAAGAGAAGCTGCAGGTATCAAAAAGAGTTCTAAAATAGGTGAGAGGAGATAAATGTAATCTTTTTACCTAACCTGTATATTATTTGCTAGCAGCGGAAAATGTCAAGTCTCAGGATCATATATTAAGTCAATCAGTGGGTAGTTCACTTCACAACTCTAAATCGGATGGTCACGTTGCGTAACTAGAAAGAAGGGAAGGGCCTGGGACTATTCTTTTGTTCGAGGAAGCGATCGCGCCGTGACTTCTGCGTTAAATTCTACATGTGTTTTGCTAGAGTCATTTAATCAATGCAGATACTGTCGTTTCTCGCGTTATTCCTTAGTTTACCTTGATCATTCAGTTACACTTCCCTGCTTATCTTCTGGGTTTGTAATCAACAGATGATAGAGGTAGTGGCAGCAGAAGACGCGGTAAACGGAAAAGTGACGACGACAATAGCGTTGATGACTCCCCTAAATCCAAGGTAAAGAGAAACAATTTACTTTTCCTCAAAATCGAGAACACACACGACGTTTCTACGTCAGCCGGTGCCCCAACAACACATCCTGTTACTTACATATAGTTGTAGCCTTACTAGCCAAAAATACTGACAACTGCGGGCTCACTTTATTTGCTGAGTTTGTGGTTACCATAAATGAGTAATAAAACAATAGCCTCAGTACGAAGCTCTGGGGAATAAACCCCACAAACTCTGTAGTTATTCCCCAGAGCCTCGTACTGAGGTCTATTGTTTTAGGCTGAATTTTAATATATCGAAATTGGTCTGTTTACCGTAAACTTCCGAAAGCAACGACCCCCCTCGAAAGTAGCAAGCCAACCCTCCGAAAGTAACGTCAAAAAATTGTGGTCGCAAGTAAATCCCGAAAGTAGCGTTCCCCCGAAAGTAGCGACCCCCCGAAAGTGGCGACCCCCGAAAGTAGCGACCTTCGAAAATAGCGACCCCCGAAAGTAGCGCCTGGTTTTTATGCCTTGCCTAGCGATGTTACAGTAAAAAACGTTGTGTACCACTTATCTTGCAACGCCGTCACAATTCTTCCGGTCATGTCGCACGAAACATCGCGCCTTAAACCGCCATCTTTTGTTGTTTCAGCACCCACGGTTGAAGACGAACAAGCAGAAAATTGGTGTTCGTTATTACGAGGCAGTAAATGTGAAAAACAAGAACCGTAACAAGAAAGCGAAACATAAAGAAGGACAAACAGGAAGAAAGGGAAGAAAAAGACAGTGACTGAATGAAATCTGAAGTGGACATCATACATGATATAAATAACTAACTGTAATTGTGGACGAAATTCCCGAAATAATGAGAGATAACTTCCCAGTATTCTTGGAACCTAGCTCTCCAATAAAGAATTATTTGGAAGGACAGCATTTTTGTTTATTATGACTGAAGTAGAATTGCATTTAAGTAATTTTTTTTTTTCAGTGGAATCAGTTGAACCGTGGCGAGAACACCTTATAATCTATATCTCATAAATATACAACGAAAGAGGAAAATGTTTTTAAAACTCGAAAAGATTTTTTGCATCGTAAATTTCCCGATGGGACGTTATGTTTTTAAAAAGTATTACTTTTTTGTTTTTACTACTTTTTTGCCTTGATTCATTTGGCAACCACTAGGTCAAGTCATCAACAGAACAGTTGGCGTTCTCAGACGCAAATTTTTAACGGCGACAGCTGTATGGAAGGAATTCAAATGTACCTATTTTACACGTAACCGACAGCAGAGAACCCTCGAACTGGTAGAAACCTATTTTCCAACTCCTCTCCTCTTGCACGTTTTCCTTAGGCAGGAATGACTTTGATCCCCAGATAACTTTATTCAGTTGATGAAGCCCTTTTCATACACAGCACCACGTTTCTCTATAAGAGGATTTTGTATTTTTCTGCTCTGGGAACTCTGTTGATCACTAATCGTCCATCGTACGACAGCGATGCAAACACCCAGGGGTCAGCGGTAGACCACTCCACAGCATACACACTGTCTTCATGTTCATCAAACGTTGCTATGACGCCATCTTTTGTAGGCTCTCGGGACCTGGAAACAGAAAAGACGTAGAGGTAGAATATATTTTTGAGCGGCAAAATCAGTGCGCCCAGCAGCAAAAAAAAAAATGCAGGCATACTGACAATTTTGTAGCACTAACGTTTCTTTCTTCTCTGCTGGGTAGTATNTGTCCCAGAACCTCATTTTACAGTCATCCCCACAGCTGACCAGCACATACTGCTTGTTCGGATTAAAGTCTAGGTCACGAACCAGTTGGCTATGAGCGTTCTCTATTGTGTAGACAGGCCTAAGAGATAACAGAAGTATTCAATATTAAATAACAATCAGACTATGAGCCAGAGTTTACACTGAATGAAGAGACAACGAACTACAGTCCAGGTGATGTCTGTTAAGGTCCTGAAAATCACAGGTGCAGCAGCTCTCGTAAGCTTGTAAAGCTTTTCACAGTTGACCCATTGTTAGCAGCTGCTATTGTTGTGGAGCTAGGGGCATTGTTTCTGTTGTTTGTTCTATTGTCCTCTCAAAGGGTATCAAGCCTTTCATGTGAGACCTCACGAGAGCTGCTACCAGATCCCTACAAATGCTAACCTCATTGTCCTGACATCCCACCCTCTGATTGTTGCATCATTTGCTGTTGCAATCTGGGAACCGCTGTGATGAGGGTTCCACCGACCTGTGGTGAACTTGGGCTGACCTTTACCCTCTAGACGAGCTGAGTCGATGGACTGTGTAATAAGAAAAAGTATTCACAGACACTCTCTGATATACAGGAGGGAGGGTGGGGGGAGCAGATACAGGGGACAATACAAAGTCCAAAGGGCAAAAATGTATATCAATTTTTCCTGTTAATGGAGTAAGAAAGAGCCACCTTGAATCCTACCATTTTTGGAATTATGTCCATTATCACTACAGAATCCCTCTTTAGGTAGTCTCCTTCAAAGCCGTTATTAGGGTCATCACACAATGCTTCTCCCTACTAGGGAGAAGCATTATGTGACAATCCTAATAACAGCTGCAAATCGAAGCCAAGAAGACCACTATTTGGGCACCTCTGGGTCAAGCAAAAGCACAGTACATATTTTATGATAACTCAAGTCAACTTCTCTCTGGAGAATTTGTGAAGTCAGGAGATTTTCTCCCAAGAATCTCATTTGGGACTCTATATTTCCATTGTATGCATAACATTTTCCAGAGCTTTGTTGGCACTTCCCCTGTCTTGTTTTAAGCATCCTCTTCTCTTGTGCGGCACAGTCACATGAATATCATATTCAATACAAACACACCTCTGCAGTTGAAGCACTTCTGTCAAGATCCCACAACTCAAGATGCTGTTCGCAAACAGACACAACTTGACTTCCATCACCAGATGGATTCCATAACACACTGTAAGAATTCAAAATCACCTATTATGGCTTTATGTAAAAATTCTGAATGAAAACTGTTTTGGTGTCTCTGCACTAAGCTAGGCAAGACAAAATCAAAGCATTCCCTTCCTCTGTGGTAGCTAATCAACTGGCACAAATTTATGCATTTTTAGACATTTTTACTAATAAAATATAGTCTCTGTTAACTACTGCAAGGCTAACCAGAGACTAAAATGTTTACAATGTACATATACGTACACCAACCTTCTTACATTCTCGTGCTTGTTATCAAAGTAACAGATAAGCTGTAATGATCGGGAATGTCCACTTCCAGGGGAAATTCCAGGAGAGTCTAAAGGGGGCTCAGTGTCATCCACCGGTGGAATTCTCCACAGAGCTCCTTGTATCTCAGCCTT